TAAATGTCCATCAACAGATGAATGGATAAAAAAAATGTGACATGTATGTATATACAAAAGGATATATTTTGTCTTTAAAAAGAAAGAAATTCTGAAATATATGACAACATAGATGAATCTTGATGACATTATGCTAACTGAAATAAGCCAGTCATAGACAAATGCTGCATGATTCTATGCATACGAAGTATCTAAAATAGTCAAATTCATAGAGTCGAAAAGTGAAATGGTGATTACCAGCAGTTGAGGGGAGAGGGAAATGAGAAGTTACTAATCAACAGGCATATAGTTTCACTCAAGCAACATCAATAAGTTCTAGAGGTCTGCTGTGTAACTCTTACCTATAGTCAAATATAACATACACTTAAAAATTTGTTAAGAGGGTAAATCACATGTAAATGTGTTCTTACCACAGTTAACATATAAAATTTAATTTCATTTTAAAAGAAAGAAAATTATCAAAAACAACCAAGGCTCAAGTCCTGCTATATGTAATAAATATATAAGAAATCAAATAAAGATGCAGTTTGTTCCTCGACGTACACCCTTCTCCTAATATGAACTCCTACCAGCCTTTTCCAACCATATTCTTATGCTGCATTCAGCACCACTTGTGGTTTCCATGACACTCTCAGATCCTTGCTTTTGTAAGTTCTTGGAGTTACATATGTTTCTTATCAGGTTAGTGTACCCTTGGCTGTTAATTCTGGTGGAGCATAGCACATTAAGACACAAAAGTTGCTTAATTATCAGACAGCACAATAGAGCCCCCCCCCATCTTCCTTCTCTCTTTGTTTCTCTTGCATCCATCTTTCTTCCTTGCTTTGTTTTCTTTATTTTTTAAAGGAAGAAAACATTTTAATGGAGATGAGTAGATTTTTTGTTAGAATACAATAAAGATGCAAATATTATTATTAAAGCAAAATATCTGATTTATGCTATGAGAGACAGTGTTCATATTAGGAAGAGAAAGGTGTGCTTGTATTAGAGAAGCTCCCCTCTGTTGAATCTGAAAGACCAATGCTAACAGCTACAAGAGAACCTAGGCTGTACCACCAGCCTTCTGACACAGATCCAGGACACTGGTGGGGAGGGGAGATGTGGAAGGAGGAGGAAGGACAAAAGACCAAGGTGAACTAGAGGAGAAAGAACAAGAACACAGAAAAGACCAGAAAAAGAGCCTCTCCTGGACTCCTCTCCAAGCTAGGCTGTGTGGAGAACATGGAGTTAATCTGATGGGACATGGGCTCATTCTTTGACCTCTGGATATGTTCTGGAGTAGCTAATAGTAAAATTGCGTTCCTCTAGATGGTATTTGCAGGACTTCGCAGATGTCGCATGTGTTATGGTGGTGGTGGTAGAGGTAGTAAATATGAAGAATTGCCCACGTGAAGAACGGTAGGAATTGGAAATGTGAACTCAAGAGAAAAAAACACATGGACTCTTTCGCTTATGTGCTCATAAAGCATCCATAAGTTAACTTGGACAATAAAACCCATATCTGATGAAAACAATGGAAACTCTCCCTAGTTCCCAAGTCAACAGATTAGTTTTCTCATCCATCCCCCCCAACAATGTATCTTAGGAGATGCAGAGAAATGCCAGATCCCATCTGCTTCAATTATTTTATGATGCATTACAGAAGGATATTGGAGATTTCTAAGAATTAGAAATATGAAATAGGGTCCAGCCAGAAAATTTTAAAACCCAGGCAGTGGGCTCTTTGCCCGTAGCTCTCCCGTCTGCCCCAGAAATTGTGCCCATTTGTACCACGCTGATTGTGGCTGCTGGGTTTTAATTGGTACCAAACGTGTGAAGTAAATGGCATAGATGCATCCCCTCTGAGAGCTGAGGTTGTAGTCAGCACATAGAAAGCAGTTTTCAGCTCAATCATTTCCAGGTGGAGGGCTCTTTTTGCTCTGTCTTTTTGCCCTTGGGGCTTTCTCTTTCACCTACTCGGCCAGGAATCTAGAATAATTTAGTACCTAACCCTAGTTGTACTTGAAAATCACCTGTTGAGCTTTGGAAACAAACAGGCACTTAGGACTACCACTACAAACAAGTCACAATTTGGGGGTGGGGTGGAAGTAGTACAGGCATCAGCACTCTTTAAAAGCTTCCCAAGAAATTTTAAACAACAGAAGAAGTTGAGACCTTCTGAGCTAACTGGGAAATTCTCTCTTCCTGGATCTGCCTTTCTCTCTTTCACTGTTCCTTCCTCCTCCTCCCTCACCCTCTCCTTCTCTTCCTCTTTCTATTCCTCTTTCTCTCCTCCTGGCCTCCTCTCTTTCTCCTTCCCTCAAATAGGCTTTCATGAAAATGACCATTTCCTGAGAACACTCCCTTCCTCATTGAAATATTGAAAAGTTCCTTTAAACCTATGATGTTCTGTTTTCAAAGATTTCTTAGGATTACAGATGCCTTGTTTCCAATATATGTATTTATAAAATGATTAGCAGCATGGTTTGGCTTTACCTGTGGGCCAGCTTGGCTCTGGCCTTTGGTGGAAGCAGAAGACGAGGAAAGTTGGGCAAATGACCTTCCATTTCCTTATCCTTCTTATTGGTACCTATGCCCACATGTAGAGCCACTGAGGACACCAAGTCCTCCAATTCACCCACTGATGAATTCATTAATTAGATAAATAAATATAGATAATTTTAGCCCTAACAATATTCCTGGCCCAATGCTCAGTGCCAAATATACAAGAATGAATAAGAAAATACTTCTGCTTTTCAGTGAGTGAAACATAAATATTTGATTGTCCCCAAGGTTTTAAATGTTTAAAGGGGAATATTTGAGCTGAGTCTTAAAGATCAAGTAGGAATTAACAGGGTGAAAGAGGGAAAGGAGCATTCTAGGTAAAGGAGAAAACAGCCAAAGGCTCAGAGGCTAGAAATGCTACAAGCACAGGAAGAGTCCATAGGTCTTTCAGTGGGGGTTGAGTTTCACTTGCATGTTCCGGACTGGCTGCTGATTAATATTACTAGGCCTGCCCTTCCTCACTGCCGCGGGGGCAGGGGGCGAGGGTTGCATTTAAGCTTTTGACTCCTAATCTGGAGCCTTACATTACCTGATCCTTCCATTGAACTCTGGCTGCACTAAAAATGTTTTTGCTTATTCCATGTTTCTGTGTTTTGTTTTGTTTTGTTTTTCTCTCTTCCCTGCAGGTTGATGAGCATGGGTTTGGGGGAGTGGGGACTGATGAACTGAGTTCTCATCTGATTCACAGACTGTACAACACAGGCGCACACACACCCTTTTATTGGGGAAGCTGAATAAGAGATAAAGGCTTTCAATCTCTAGTGATATGTTGCCAAGCCTTTCTGTAGTTGGGCCTTGGAATCTGAATTCTTAACAAGCTCCCCCAAGTAATCCCTCGGCAAAGGCAGATTGGGAAGCGCTGCCCTATCCCAAGCGCTGATTTGAGAAGGTGATGGTCAGACCATACTAGCCAACACTTACACAGCAGTAACAAAATGCCAAGCGTGGTTCAAAGTGCTTTTTTTGTTGTGAAATTAGCTGATTTAACCCTTACAAGAAACCTACAAGGAAAACTGATAAGTATTAATATTTTCACTTTAAAGATAAGGAAACTGAGGCATAGAATTCAAATGACTTGTCCAAGTCACACAGCTAGTCAGTGGCAAAGCTGGAATCAAAGCCACTCTCAATCCATACCCTAGATTGCCTTTCTAAATGTTCAAGACCATTAGCCATTAGCCAGGCTGACACAGAATAGAATACTTATTATGCTCCAGGCATGGTCCGAGTTGTAGCAGGTACATAAAGGTAAGCCAGAGCCAGTGATGTGCTTGTAAATGCTTTATTCTTTTGTTTCTCAGAGTAGGGAGGGGAGTGAAGATGTGATTTATAGTGTTTGCCAGATTCTATAGTTCAGATGTCACTGACCATGGAACTGGGAAGAAAAGCGCACAGTGGCTCTGATAAGCTGATATGAGCTGGCTCCGGTTCACCACCCGATACAGCCTTTGCTCACTTGTGGCTTGCTGCTTGGTGTCAGCCATCACAGCACATGCCACCGTGAAGGTGCAGGCCAGTGGCTGTGGAAGAATAGAAAAGGGAAATCTATTTTCTAAAACAGCAGGAGTGTCAAGAGGCTTTGGACATCTGAAGTTGTGCTCTGGTTTGGGGTAGTGAGAGGGCCAAGGGAATTTTATTTCAGCACTTGGACAGCGCAGTGCAGGGAGGAGACCACCTATGGGCATCAGATCAATGAAGCCCAGTGGCCTTCCTGCTCCCAATTATCCTTCCCAATAATCATCTACAAGTTTTATTTTTACTACTACTTTATTAAAATGGTGCTTTAAAGTATCATATTTCACAAAAACATAGCAAACTTCAGGATGAGAATATTGTAATCACACACACACATGCATCTAATTTGTGATGTTCAGTGAGGTTTGTTGATTTAAATTAAACAAAATACAATAACTAATTATTCATGATTTATAGTGCACTGGGCAGGTGTTCCTTTATTTATAATAAAGTAGTAGTAAAAATAAAACTTGAGAGAATTATAGGAAGAGTAAAATGAAAAATCAAAGAGTAAAAATGTCTCATAGAGTTGGAGCAATTTGTACTGAATATTAAATAACTATTTTGTTATTTTTATAATTTTAGTTTACTTATATGGTACAGATTTATTGAATATGCATGAAGCAATCTGAGAAAATACATAAAAATATAAAATAAATGTTCTGATAATAAAAAAATAATAATCACCCACAAGTAATTTCCTTCAATTCGACTTCCTCTCCTCTGCTGTTTCCCCCAGCCCCAGGTCAGGTACAGGTCTGAAGATTTTCTGGAGACAATTTCCTGCCACTTTCTGTAGACCAGTTACCCCTCACACGTTCGAACACTCACGCCAACGTAGGGGACCTGTGCGGCGGCCTCACAGCACATCACAGCGATGGGGGGCTTGGGGACTCAGGTGAGGGCAAGTGCATGGTGATTCTCTGTGCTACTTATTTCAGGTACCAGCAGTGCTTCTATGGGGTCAACCTGTCCAGTCTCCAGGCTGCAGCAGTGGACGAATACTTCAGACAGCCGATAGTAGTAAGTGTGCTCTCTTTACAGGCTCACTCCCATGCATGCGTCTATATATTGATTCATTCACTCACTCATTCACATAGCACACACTGCACTGCCAGGCTCTGTGCTAAGCCATCACAGAGGAAGAGAAAGAAGTCCTTGGGGCATGGTGTTTTTCCGTCTTCTAGCTCTGGTGTCCCAATCAATTAAAAACATTGTCAGAGAGTGATACTATTGAAAGCAAGGAGATTTCCTAACTACCTTTCAGTAAGTAACTTCTAGTTTTCCCACTGCCCTGACACACCTCATACACACACTCAATCCTCGCACTTGTTCAATAATTCACAACTTCCCATTGATTCTAGTGGCCCCAGGATAATAGAAGAGGAAGCCTTGTATAATAGCTTACAGCTGGAGCTTTCCTGTTAATCAGATTTGAGTTTCCACTGTGGCCCCGTCTAGCTGTGTAACCTTGGGCAAATTTTAAGTTTGCATCACCTGAAATTCTTTCAGTTGTAAGTGGAAGGAAACCCAAACCAAAGTAGCTTAAGCTAAAATGGAATGACTGTCCCTTAAAAATTGCAAAGCCCGAAGATAGAGTTTGCTTCGGGGTCCTATTGCAGGAACTCCAACAGTGTTGCCAGGATCTGATTTTTCTGTCCTCATCACTTGTCTCTACTTCCTCTTATTTAACTCTATTCCTAGACAGGCTCTCCTATAGTGATAGCAAAATGGCTACGGAAACTCCAGTCTCTGATTCTTAAAATTCTAAGTTCTGCAGGAGAGGCTGCCTTTTCTTACTAACATAGGCAAAAGCCCCAGATTTAGTTTAGATAGAGCCTGATTGTCCTATCTTGGGTCATGTGCCCATCTATCAACCAATCACTGCCTTCAGGGGGAAAAGTAATGCTCTGATTGGCCAAACTAGGGTCATATGCCATACTTGTTGCTGAGGGTTGACTAAGTTCATATGGAACTTCTTGGACAGAATGTGGGGAAGAGATAAATCCTCACCCCTGAATAAATTTTTGCATTTTTGAAAAAACACCAAATACCTACTCTAGAGACATTTCAAGGAATAAGTGATATAACCTAATAAAGCCCTTAGCACTTAGTGTTTAGCATATAGTAAGCGCTCAATAAAGGTTAGTTTTTATTATTAATATTATTCTCATTAAGCTCATGCCTTCTATATCCAACTTGTGATGCATGCGGAGAACTAGACTGCAAACTTGCTCGAATTCCATTTGTCTTGACAGAAAGGTAATAACATCTTTGATGTTTTTCTCCCCTGAGGACACATTTGACGTTAGGATTTTGATGGCTCAGACTGTCAAATACACAGTAAACTTCATGGATGCAGAAGAGGAAGATCTACAAAGGTTTGTACAAATCGCTGTTGCTTTTGATATTTAAAATCTCCTCTCCACATCTCCCACCAAAAACTTCAATGAAGACTTTTGCAGCTCACACGGGGAAGATTTTAGATGTCAGTCACATACAGGAATGGTACATCAATACTAGTTTCATTTACTGCCAAATAAGGATATTGTTGTCTCCTGCATAGGATTGTTTTAAGAATTAAATGAGAAAAATTAAATAGTAATAGCATAGCTTGTACTTATACAACCACCGTTCTGAGCTCTTTATATACAATAACTCATTTAATTGTACAACAATCCTATGTGAATGATACTATCATTATTCCCATTTTACAGATGACAAAAATGAAGCAGAGTTGAATGATTGGTTGCTTAAGGTCACAGAATTAAGAAATGTGTTAGAGCTAGGATTTGCATCTTTCAGAAGACTCCAAATTCTGGGCTTTTAACCTCTCTGCTTTAATGCCTTTCAAGTGAGAGCATATATGTGAGTTCACCCAGGCCAGTGCATGTGATAATGACAAGAAAAGAGCTGCAACTTATTAACTGTTTACTACATACTAAGTGTTGTGCTAATTATTTTATAGGCACTGGCTCATTTTTAAAGAAGGCATTCAACAAATGTTAGTTTTTTGTCCTCTTCCCCTCTACTTGAAAAGAACTCTGAAATGAAGACTCTGCCTAGACTTGGTTCCATTTTTTTAGATGATGAAATGAAGCTCCTTTGGGTGATCTTTCATTAGCACCATGAATGTAAATAACATGCAATCTCCTTTGAAAACCTCTAGAGAATTCAATAAAATAAGAGCCCTCAGAGTGATACAGCCTCAGAGATGGACCAATATCACCTTTTAAATATGAAGAGCTTCAAAGGTTGCACAGCACTCTCATATATATAACTTGGCATGCATAAAACCTTATGAGGAATGTAGGAGAGAGATTCTGTTGCCTTTCAACACACTGAGTTTCAGAGAATTTAAGTGACTTTCCAAAGTTCCACAGCTAAAATAGGTTCAGCATCTAGAATTTGTTGTATCTTTTCCAATATTTTTCCTATTCCTGCTTATTCTGCATTTGGCATAAACCACGGCCACTCCTGCATGACCCTTGTTATAGCCCGGTGGGAAGTTCAATTGCCTCCCTGAAAAAGAAATGAACTATGACAATGACCTTCTGGGCTTGATGCTCCCCTTGTGATCTGCTCAGTTTTTCAGAGGCCTGAGTAGACATTACCTTCTGAACAGCTGCACAGGGGAACTGCCACCACCCATGTTCTGGCTCCTTGAAGGATGATTGTCACCTGTGTCCTGAGTCATCCTCCTCTGCATTAGTCAAACCCAGCACCAGATGCTACACTCACCCTTGCGCAGTTCTGGGTCATGGCAGCACGTAGCAAGGTTCTTGCAGGGTTTTGTCAAGATGCAAGCTTCTCCGATGTGCAGTGCCACCCAAGCATGAATCAGTCACACACTGAGAGAAGCTTGCTGCCAAAGCAAAAGTGTTTAAGAGAGAAAGAAAATATTCTATGAATGTTCCTACTGATCTCACAAATATATTTAGAGTATCTGTCAACAACAAAAACAGTAATTCCAAGTGTTTCTTCTTTCTTTCTGTCTCCTTGCAGAGTAGAAATCCCCTTTGTGTTTCAGATGGCGCAGTCAGGCCTCATCCACGGCCTGGCGTTCTGGTTTGACGTGGCCTTTGTTGGATCTCGGTGTGTACCCTGCCCCTGTCCCCTTCTTAGCCCCCCGTATCCCATCCTTCCCTCCACTATTTGTAATCACCATTTTAAAGTGTTTAAGAATTGATTTCAACCACACTAATACTTGTTTCTCCACTTTTCAAGGAAATAAACACAGATGTTAATGTTGCTTGTAGATTTTAGGATGAAGTGAAAATGAGACGGTTTTCCATGTGTCGTATCAATTCTGACTAAAATATGCAAAGCCTCTGAAGCCAAATGGGTTTGAGCTTTGGCGTAGTGAGAGAGGGTTTGTGCTTTACCAACGTTCTTGGTGTTTTCTAGAATAGATGGAGTGGTAACCCAAGCCCCTGTCTTTGTTTCCAACACACCTGGTTATGTAACCTCTTGTGTCTGGGTAATTTCCTGAATCATACTCTTCCCCCACTTTGGTTCACACTCTGGAATCTTTTAATGATCAGGCAGGCATGTATTACTAATGCTAATTGCAACATTAGGAAACTTCTCCATCTGTGCACTCCGTTTTCCTCTACTGCGCAGCTTTGAAAGTTACAGGGAAAAGAGGGAAAAGACCACCTACAACTTGGATGTCAGTGTTTGGTGTTTGTTGTATGGGCTGCATCACTCCACGGCCCCCAAATCTCTGTTCTCCTCCTGACCTCCCTACTCTGTTCCCAAGCTTCCTCGTGCGTTCCAGCTTCCAAAAAGATTTGGTCTGGGTCACATGCCCAGGCAAAGGGAAACGTTTGCAGTATACTCTCCTACACTTCTTGTGAGAGTGTCTAGGCTTGTCATTGCACCTGCTTAAAAGGGACGGGGTGGGGCCTTGGAGGACTCAGGGGAAGAGGTGACCCCCTAAAAGCCCCGTTAGAGCTGACAATAAGAGAGAGAGAAAGTGACGCACAAATCATTCCTACTCCATATAAGCATGTTTGTCCAAGAAATCCAATGATTTGTTTCCCCCAGTAATATTCCACGTGAGTGAATTTGTTCTTGCAAAGGTAAGGGAGATGTGGCATACCTCAAGGTGGAAGTGTCTTTGAAGTTAAATGCTTTATCATACACACACACATTTACATACATCTCTATATATAATTTGCATTCCACTCTATATCTAAGTATGTTTTTATCTAAAAGTGGTTTATATTACTTAGCAGTTAAATTATATAAAAATTTTCCCCAAAATCTTCAAGTCAAAACTGGCCCTTTAGGAATTTGCCCCATACTTAATGTGCACCTTGCTCCCCACCTCACCAGTCACCACTGCCCAGCCCCAGGACAGGTGACCTCGGGGTTAGGAACACAGCAAGATGTTCTCACTTCTTTATGTGAAATGAAGAACCTCAATTTAACACACACACACACAAACACACACACACACATGATGTCCAGCTGGAAGGACAGTAGTGACCATCTGTTCTAGACATTTTTCCCACTTCCAGAAGCCCTTCAGGACCCCTGAGTAGTTTGGCATGAGACAGTAAGAGGCCAGACTCCAGACTTCTCCCCTTGCTGTAATTTTCAAACAAATCAGTTTCTAATTTAACTCTGTCACTCACTGAGCCTCTGATGAGCTTTGATTCAGAAATACAGATTGATGCGATGGCCAAGTCTATGAATCTGAAGCCCGGATCTGCGGTTGTCCTCTGCATGGTGCTGGGCATACTTCATAGGGCCGCTGTGTAGATTGAATCGGATAATCTACATAACGTCTCAGTTCAGTATTCAGCACACGGTACTTGCTGCACAAATCCAGCTGTCCGTATCTTAAAAGGGTTCCATGAGTCAAAAAGAATGTTGTAGTCGTGGTCGTGGTCCAACCCATTCATGTGGGTCTGTAGTTGTAGTCGTGGTCTAACCCATTCATGTGGGTCTGGCATGTAACTGGCTTTTAACTCTTTTCTGGCCCAACAGGGTAACAGTTTGGCTGTCAACAGCCCCGACCGAGCCTCTGACTCATTGGTATCAGGTGCGGTGCCTCCTGCAGACTCCTCTTTTTGCCAAGGAAGGGGAGACGCTCTCGGGGAAAGTCCTGTTTGTAGCCAATAAGCGGTAAGCAGGAAGATACAGACGTGCTTGCACTTCTGTTTCCTGGGCATTAAGGGGTGGCTGGGAGTGGGAGGGGCCAGGCAGTTCCCTGGGACTCCAGCACCTACATGGGGACAGCCAAGGCCTGCTGGGTCCCCAGGGGTGCCCTCAGCTACGAAGCCTCAGGGCAGGTTGCTTCTTCACACTGAGTGTGGCAAGGAAGAGGAGCTTCAGGTAACTCAAGGGCAGTGTTCTCCACCCAGCCACGGAGGAAGGAAGGAAATCCAGCATCTTATGGGGTCACTTGCCAGAGGCTTGAATTATCGTCTTTTTTTTATTTATTTTTTTTATTTTTTTGAGACAGAGTCTCACTTTGTTGTTTGGGCTAGAGTGCCGTGGTGTCAGCCTAGCTCACAGCAACCTTTCAGACGCCTGGGCTCAAGTGACCCTCCTGCCTCAGCCTCCCGAGTAGCTGGGACCACAGGCATGCACCACCATGCCCAGCTACTTTTTTCTATATAGTTTTAGTTATCCAGATAATTTCTTTCTATTTTTAGTAGAGACGGAGTCTTGCTCTTGCTCAGGCTGGTCTCGAACTCCTGAGCTCAAACAATCCACCCACCTCAGCCTCCCAGAGTGCTAGGATTACAAGTTATCAAGTCTTAAACTCTGTGTCAGCTTCCTGGATTTACTTACATCTGTCTAGCCACCCCCCATGCCCCACACACAAATTAAATATAATAAAATTGACCTATACTGCAGAGGGAAAAAAGCACTTAGAGGTAGTATACGGTGTATCAGAAAGGACTGGCTGCTTCCCTATGGTGGTGGATTTCACAAGGTCTCTGCAGCAATTACCTTGATTTATCTCATTTTTAAAATGTCCTATTTTCCTTCACCTTGTTGGAGCTTCAGCTGCATGCATTGGAGGAGGGAGGCGTAGCAGAGTGGTTCCAGGATTTTCAGAGTGTCAAGGGTACTCAGATCATCTCATGCAACTTTCTTTCCTCCATACCTCCCACCCTTCCTTGGGCCTGTGCTTGAATACTCCAGTGACGAAGAGCTCACCACCTCACAGATCAACCCTTCCATCTTTAAAGTCTTTATTTCTTTAATTACAAAAACCTAATGTGCTCACATACACATTCAAAACTATGAAAGTGTGTAGAGTTCTCCTATACTCCCGTCCCTCACTGCATTCCCCAGTGTGACAGCTTTATTTGTGTACTTTCAGGTGATTTTCCCTGCATGTACCAGCAAATGACATCATTGTGGGGTTTGTTGTTTGTACAGCAAGATGAGACTAGCAGTCTGCAACTTAACTTTTTTACTTAGTAATAAGTCCTGGATCTGTACAGATAGATCTGCTTTGTTCTTTTAGTAGATGCATAATAGCCCAGAGCATGGATGTACCATAATACTAATTGACTGGTATTTGGGATATAGTGTGCACAGTGACATGAATATTTCCAAATGAGATGCCTAGAAATGCAAACGCTGGATCAAAGGCTATGTATATGTTAAACTCTGATAGATACTACCTTTCTCAGTGGTTGCACCATTCTGACCAGCAATAGATAAGCATGTTCATTTCTCCACATCTTTCCCTAAACTGGATATTATCAGTCTATATGATTTTTGTCAGTCTGATAGACCCAAAAATAATTTTTAAAAGTAGCATCTTGTTGTTTGGTTTGCATTTCTTATCTCTATCTTTTTTTTTTCTTTTTTTTAGAACAGGGTCTCATTCTGTCACACTGGGTAGAATGCAGTGGTGTCATCATACCTCACTGCAACCTCAAACTCCTGGGCTCCAGTGATCCTCCCACCTCAGCCTCCCAAGTAGCTGGGACTACAGGCATGTGCCACCATGCCTGGCTAAGTTTTCTATTTTTTGTAGAGATAGTCTCTCACTATGTTGCCCAGAGTGGTCTTAAACTCCTGGCCCCAAGTGATCCTCCTCCCTCAGCCTCCCAAAGTGCTGGGATTACAAGCATGGGCCACTGGGCCTGGCCTGCATTTCCTTAATTATTGATCAGGTTAAGTGACTTTTCATATGGTCATTGCTATTAATATCTCCCAATTTTGACATTTCTAATTATTAAAATATTATTCTTGCTATTGATCCTATATTGTACTTCCTATAAATTCTACTCATTGCTGTTAGTTGTGCTTCTGAATTCAAGCTACATAGGTCTGTTCTAACCTCTAATTGGCAATTGTTCAAATATTTGCCAAGTTCTACTAAATGTCCTCCCAGTCTTTCTGTCTTTAGGCTAACATCCTCAATTCTTCCCTCTTGGAAAAATGATTTTGAAATAGTTTGAAATTCTAGTTCTCTTTTTCAAGATACTCTGGTTATCAATGTCCCCTTTTAAAACATTTCTCCAGAACCAAATATAGAATAGCATATATGTTCTGACAACTGCTGGGTACAGAACAATAGTAACCACTGCTGTTTTGAATTATAATAAGTTTAAATTAAGTTTGGTGTGTACTTTTCTAGAGTCTATAGTCAATTAAAGCCAAAAAGTATATTTTCACATGATCTACTTTTAAATCAGATGTTCCCTTTTTCTAGTATGCAGCTGACTTTTGTCAGCTTTAGTACTAATTTTTGTATTTATTCCACTCATGCATTCATCTGCTGTTTTGGGATCTTTGCTAGAGCCAATGGATTATTATATTTATTTTTAAAATTCTTTTGTGTGGTATATTAGTGATTCTTACCATTTTATGTCATATGTAAATTAAATAGGGATCTTTATTTTTTAAATATTAAGCAGAAAAAGATCAAGGATATAATCTTCCTTCAGAGTTTGCATATATCCAGCCTAATGCACACCCTTTGAATTTGGTCATGGAAGTAGCGCAAAATCCACCTGCTTGCATTCAAACCTAGCCCACATTCCTCTGTCCGCTCAGAAGGAAATATGCTACAACCTTTGTCGCATGTGATCTCCAAATAAGCTTAATTTCTGATTTCACACTCATAACCCAGTTCAATAACCCTGCCTCTAAAAAGGAAATGAAACTACTTGAACATAGCATTCATTATTTAATTTCTTAGTGAAACTGTGCTAGATCTCTAGAGATCATGACTTTCTGTCTCCTTAAAGGGTTATTTAATTTTTTTGAAGACAGAATATAGTCACACCATTCACAATAAAAATATATAACAAGATATATAATAAAAAGTCTTCCTCCCAGTGTGGACACCATTCATGCCCCTCCACTGCCCCCATCATACCTCTACTGTTATTGTTTCTTGCATATCCTTTCAGAGTTTCATTTTAGATATACAATTACAAAAACCATAATGATAGAAGTTTGTACATTTACTTATTTATTTTCCCCTGCTTTTATGTCTAAACGATAACTTTCTATATCTGTTTTCTACTTCTTAAATTTTTCACCTAACAACACATCTCAAAGACATTTCCAGCCAGGCGTGGTGACTCACGCCTGTAATCTTAGCACTCTGGGAGGCCAAGGCAGGAAGATCTCGTGAGGTCAGGAGTTCGAGACCAGCATGAGCAGGAGTGAGACCCCATCTCTACTAAAAATAGAAAAAATTAGCCAGGCATAGTGGTAAGCGCCTGTAGTCCCAGCAACTCAGGAGGCTGAGGCAGGAGGATCACTTGAAGCCAGGGATTTGAGGTTGCTGTGAGCTAGGCTGACGCCATGGCACTCCAGCCCAGGCAACAGAGCAAGACTCTGTCTCAGAAAAAAAAAGACATTTTCATAACAGCACATTGAGATGAATGTTCTTATTTTCTTCCTTGAGTTATTGTATTTCTGCATAAATTATTGTTTCCTCTATAGAGGTGAGGGCTTAATTATGGTTTTAAAATTTGCGATGAAATATTTTCTTACATTTTTTGTTTGTGCCATGGCAACAGTTATCCGATATGCATTTTTCGTGTATTTGTAAATTTTGCTACACTTTTTCTACTTTTTTTTCTGATAATAAATCTCCCTCTCCCTCATTATTTCGGTCTTATTGTTATTCATCATCAAATTATGGGACCTTTCTGGGCAGCTTTTTACAGATAGAAGTTCCCATGGCAGGGAGAGGTGTGACAGTCTTCATGCGTCAGCTGTTCTCGACTCAGTCTCTCTCTCATTCTGTGCTGCCTCAGAGTCCCACTACTTCCTGCAAGAATGGCTCCTCTTGTATTCTTTAGGTGGTTTCACCACATTCTGGTTCCAGGAATGTTTCTGCTCTCAAAGCCCTGCTCAACCCAATTCCTGCACAAGACATTACAAATAAGGATTATACCTTTCACATTTCATAAAATGCTCCTTATCTTCAGGTGCTGTATTTTTGTGAGCATGTTCTGAGCTGTACTTCCCCTGGGATCTCTTGTCACTCTTTGCACTTCTTTTGTACTTTTTTCCATGTGGCTTCTAACCAATCTCAACTGCTTTTACAGCCATTATCCATATGTTGCAGACTGCAGATAGCTTTCTCCTGGTTTTATAGAAAATGAGGTCTGCCATCTGCAGTATCTATTCTCCTTGCTTTTGGATGGCTTCCAGGAGGAAAAGTAGAAAATGCTGACTTATGCCATGTTCATCCTGGAAGTTACCACTTTCTTTCTAAATCTTTATAAACCATCTGTTTAATGACCAATTCTAAAAAAAAAAAAGAAAAAAAAAGTTCAAAAGAGCAATAGCCAACATCTGCCTGGAGTTTTGGACTCTGTCCTTTCTGCTTTAGTGCAAACCTGAATAACATCTTTTTTTTTTTTTGCCTTCAAATATTTATATTTTTAAATATTTTAGGATATAAGTAAGTGAATGAATTTAAATCATCTTTTTATTCCATTACTTTTTCTGTACGTATCTTGGGTTTCATCCTTACTGGGTATATTTTTCTACCCTTCTCTCCATTTCCCCTGCTAGGTAAGAAGAAGGCAAACCAACTACCTCTCATACCTGCCTCATGATTCCCAGGGCTCCTACAGCCCTCCATGCCTTTATTATTGCACTGATGTTACTATTATTTGCCTTCTTGTGAG